CCGAGCAATTGATTGCCGGTAGTTGTGTTAGAACCGAAAGCAATTATCTCTGATTCCCTAGCTCTTTAATCGCTGAGTAAACTTTTCCTGCTATTTAAATCGCTTCTCATTAGCTTTAAATTCTTAGTTGATAATTGAAACCCCAAAAATCTTTAATAGAGTGTTTAGGATTTTCTCTTTTTCGTGATCGAGTAATCGTACAATTAACTCCGACTAACCTTCCTTGCGATACGACTCGGGGAACGAATCTTTTGATTCTACTCCGGTAAAAATACTCACAACAGAATATACCTGTGGCTTTGGCCTTACGCCCATTCAGGATAACCTCGTTTGACCAGGTGGCCTCAGAGGTGACCTTACCCTTGCCCTTGTGTCCCTTCAGATCGGGACCGTGGGCATGGGCCTTGCCCTTCTCCTTAGGGCTCTACGGGGCGGCAATGGGGCTTTGCCTCACGACACGGCGACGGGGAGGCAAAGCAGGTCGGGGCTTGTCGCCCTTGGTGTAACATTCTGCAGCCCCATGTCCTACATGACTGCATAGGGTGCAGAACGGGGGAACTCTCTTGTAGACCACTTTCTGGATAGTGGTCTTGCCCGCTTGGTCAAGCTCAATCTCCTTGATGAGCTCGTCTCTGAGGTCAATCTCCATGCACACCCGTGCGACAGATAACCTCGAGCGGTTTGTCGTAGCGGCATCAATCTCAATGGGGTTGCCAATGCAGCTGGCAATCGAGAAGAAGGCAGAAGGGTCGAAAAAATATGGTAGAAGGCCCGGGAGGCAGCACCACACCAGGACAATGGGAGATTCCTCAACAAAAGAGAAATTCGGGGTGTATTTAAACACCCGACCAGAACATCCAGAGATATTTAGACGCGTCGTAATCCAAACCGAATTGTAGTCCTCTTTCAACTCAAAAAAGTGTAAATAATGATTATAGTTAAGAAACTTAGGGGACACTCTACCCTTGACACCCAATTTGACCAGACCGACAGACAAATCCTGGAGGGAGGGACAGAGAAGAAAAACTTCAATATGAGTGCATTATCAAACGACCCAGCTAGGGAAATAACAGTGGGCTCAGGTAAACTTACCTTGAACCTGCCCTCCTCGGAGCGGGTAATGGTCCCGCTTTGTTTGTCCCGAAAAGACTCCAACGTCAGTCTTTGGTGGCCCTGTTTGGTGGTGGATGTGCCAGAGACCTCATCTGAAAAAGAAAGAGATCCGGAAGGTCGTGGTCCTTGGTTTGCCGGTTGGGGCGGAGGAATAGCTGGTGTCACGACGGTTACCGGGGAAGGCCCGTGACCTATAATCCCGGCCGAATGCGAGGTAGATGGATCCTTGCCGGAAGTGTACAGTCCGAACTTTGCTGTGGCCTGATTGGGATGGGCGGTCGTCGGCGCAATGGCAGTCGGCGGGTCGGCAACGGACCCGCGCTAGGAGTCACCTGGGGGTGGTCTTCGTCCGACTGAGGGTGGTGGATGTCGGCACCAAAGCCGGAAGGGTGGCCGAAGGGGGGATGCCGACCGGCGGCAAACGGGCATGGGAGGTGGCCGTCGTGGATGTTGGTGTTATATACTTAAGCTTTGCTTTAGTGGATATTACACTTGTTATTTTTTGATGGATGAGAATTATGTTTGGTTAAATAAGTTCCACATTCTGTTGTTTTGTATGTAGATAAGTGGGTCATCATCGGGCGTACCGAAGATCACTATATCAGTTACTTGCGAAACAAGAATCATTGGTTCACAACCTAGATGGAATTGAACAACCCATCGGAACGGTTGTAGTGTCAACCGTACGGTTTGTCTTGACCGATTAGTTGCACTAGTACATTTATGTATTGAACAAGATCCCAGAGAGGAATGTTCGTTTTATACTGATCGTCGTAAACGAACTAGGCCTCAGTTAGTTATTGCGTGCTCTTAACCCGTAAGATATTAAATAGACATGTGCATATAATTGTTGTTGCTTTGATTCTTTGGGTGAGATCCAAGCCAGGTCGACATACTTAATGAATTGGTAATGATGTGCTATTAGGATATTTACGGTCACCATGTGCGTTAGTCTGATGATGTCCCCGAAGTAAGTTCATGAAGGAATATTATGCTAAACCCTGCAGGTGGATTTATTCCGGCATAATATGAATGCTATGAGTGATCGCTAGTTTTGGTAATATAATATATTAATTAATTCTTGATTATCAGTGATCGAATTAATTAATGGACATTATATCTTAAACATGGGGAGGTAAATCGGATAATTATAATAAAGAGTCTCAAATGTAATTTGGGATAGGTGAGGGGAGTGCAATAATATTATTGTGGTGGACTTTAGTATTATTAATATATTAATTGTGGGGTTGCTCCAAAGTATTAATATATTAGAAGTCCTTATCCTATTCTCCTTAGGGTCCCTATTGTACCTCTATATATACAGCATTAGGCTCTTGGAAGAGAACACAGAATCCCATAACCTAGCAAACACGTCCGCCCCCCCCCTCTCTCTCTCTCTCTCTTCCAAGGAGTTGTTCTATTTCTTGTGCTCCACTGATACAAGATCTAGATAGCTGTTTGAGAATACAGTAGAAGATCTTAAGGTATATACGGGATTCCAATCAAATCCATCATCCATCCAAACCGGAGACCAAAACCAGCAAGTGACCATACCACGACGACCAGGACGACGAGTCGGAGAGATCGCCGTCGAGATCGCCGCCAGCCGCCGCTGCACGCGCCTACACGCGCCACCGGAGGATTGCTGCTGCTTAGACTCACACGCACACGTGAGAGCGCGTGGACGCTCCGATTCCCGACCGGTCAACGCCGTTGACTTCGCCGTGACGCCAGCTTCCTGGATTGGATAAGTTTGTTCGATTCCGAGAAGATTTGATTTGCGGTCATCCGTTCGGGCCAGCCAGATCTACATAAATTTTAAGCCGTAAGTTTTCTACATCA